GCTGTAAATATTCATCAAATTGTATCAACATTTTGTACATTATACAATAACACTTTATTAAAGTAAATGAGCTGATTTGGACAGGAATAAAATATTTTTTATTTGGAACACATCGCAATTGATCAGGAAATATTTTTTTGCTCCAATTTTCTGCGTCGATGCCGTGGGCCGGTGACCGCTATACAATTTAAAATCAGTTTGCATTGTTTACTATAGCTGTTTACAGTGTTCTAATCATTACAATTTACCTTTTTTTTGCTTCCATTCTAGATAATTATGCTCAGTGATGTAAAATTGAAGCGATGACTGAATGAAACGAACCTTGGCTGGCAAAGATGTATCTGGAAGTGTACACATTTGTTGGAAGTGAAAAAAATATTCAATGAAATGACAAAAATTGTAAAATGCTGTGGAATTTCTTTTGCAAATAAAAATATACTAGCAATTTTCTATTAATGGTTTATTCAAGTGGGTAAAATATAAATGTACAGAAAGATTGCCCGTATACACTGAAAAGTAAGCAACCGACAGCCTGTATAAAAGGGGGACTGTGATTGGCTGTTACTTACGCGAGATTTGAACGGGACTTACATAGGCGTCGGATCAGATGTAGGTAGGGCGGAATTAAAAAAAATCAAAATCAAAGTAAAATAAAAGGGCATTAATAACAAAAGTAATACAAAATAAAATTAAAACAAGTTTATAGCCAAAATAATTACAGCCCGTACACTACATCAGATTTTAATCAGATTGATGTTATACAAGGTATAAAACCAGGTGTTCATTCATTTGATACTACAGTGGTAATTTTGGCTCATTATTGCTTGTATTGAAAATGTAAACAAATGGTGCAAAAGCAGATTATGCCCCTTTAAGTGACAGATCTATTAACCTTTTCACCATTAGTTTTCTCTTTTCATCACAAATTCACAAAATAGTTCTGTTTATTGTCTGTCCTTCGAAAGATTGGGACAAAAATAGCCAAATGTTTTGAGTAAAAAAGTGCAAAAAATTGGGGCAAGAAGCCTGTTGGTGAAAAGGTTCAATTTAAATGGGTCACCTCAAATCAAATCAGTGGATACTGAACATACTCCGAAGGTTAAATTTAAATGGGTCACCTCAATTCAAATCAGTGGATACTGATCATACTCTGAAGGTTCAATTTAAATGGGTCACCTCAAATCAAATCAGTGGATACTGATCATACTCTGAAGGTTCAATTTAAATGGGTCACCTCAAATCAAATCAGTGGATACTGATCATACTCTGAAGGTTAAATTTAAATGGGTCACCTCAATTCAAATCAGTGGATACTGATCATACTCTGGGATCAAATCTGGTGTAAGTTTTTTTCAATTTAGTTCCCTTCTCTATTGATCTCAACAAGGCACTTCTTTCTGTTGGTGCTGATGACCTCTTCTGGATATGTCCTGAATCTGGTTGAAGTGGCACTGGAGCAGATGGTGGTGAAGTATAAGCTGGTCCAGATGTATGTAGAAATTCTGCTAACTTTGGTGGAGTAGAAACCATATCTTCTGGGTTGGAAGAGGCTTGGTGTCTGCTATCTTTTGGCTTTAACCTACAATATAACCATATTAGTGAGTGAAACATTTATAGCATGCACATTCAGTATTAAGTAAATCACAAGACAGTGTTATAATCTTCAACTTACTTAGCACCTTTCTTTTTGCCTTGACTTTGTTTTATTAGTGATTTCATGTTTGAACTGAAATGCATCTGTAAGACAATAAGAAAACACATGTTTGTAAGAATATCATTCTTCAAGATGTTGAACTCATTAGAGCTTCTTCAACATATGCATGTATAGTGCATTCACAAGTTATGCATGTTATCTGGAATCTCTTAAATCCCAATATGCAACATCCTGCTTTGAAACTACTAAAAATCTCATATGACATGTACAAATTTAGAAGTTAAGTAGAACTTGAGAAGTGTTCATCAAACAAATCCACTGAATTGGTTTTTATCAAATTTTGAATAGTAAGGTAGGCTGCATTGGAGAGAAGTCAATTTCATATAAAATTTGATTTTCGAAGATGATGAACATGCAAATGTCATTTCAGTGACAAAATTTTAAAAGTATTTTACAGTATGTCGAAGATGTTCTGTACTTACGGGGGGTGGTCTGTTCCTTTCCAGCTGAAGTAGTCTAACATCTTTGAAAAAACTGTGATTTCGGATCTGTAAAACAAAGTTCAATCATTTTAAATATTGCAATAAGGCTGGAAATAATAGAAACGACCTTTGACCCTCAAAGAATGTTGTCTAAGAAAAAATAGATTTTAATATTGTCCACACTAATTTAGAAATTATTATTAATATCAATACCTTATAAAATGCTGGGATTTTTCCTTTTTCATTGTAAAATATAAATTCTAAAATCTGAATTAAAAAAAAAGTGTAATGTTAAGAATACAAAGAAATATGAAGTGCATCTGTTTGACCATTACTACATTACTGGTGTGAACCAGGGAGTGTGTTATCTCTGTTGTGAAACCAGAGAGTGCATTATCTCTGTTGTGAAACCAGAGAGTGCATTATCTCTGTTGTGAAACCAGAGAGTGCGTTATCTCTGGTGTGAACCAGAGTACAATATCTCTGGTGTTAACCAGAGAGTGCATTATCTCCATTGTGAAACCAGAGAGTGCGTTATTTCCAGTGTGAACCAGAGAGTGTATAATCTCCATTGTGAACCAGAGAGTGTGTTATCTCCGTTGTGAACCAGAGAGTGCGTTATTTCCGGTGTGAACCAGAGAGTGCGTTATCTCCAGTGTAAACCAGGAAGTGCATTATCTAAGGTGTGAAACAGAGAGTGCGTTATCTCCGGTGTAAAACCAGGGAGTGCATTATCTCCGGTGTGAACCGGAGATTGTGTTATCTCTGGTGTGAACTGGAGATTGTGTTATCTCCAGTGTGAAACAGAGAGTGCGTTATCTCCGGTGCGAAACCAGGGAGTGTGTTATCTCCGGTGTGAACCAGGGTGTGTGTTATCCCTGGTGTGAACCAGGGAGTGCGTTATCTCTGCTGTGAACCAGGAAGTGTGGTATCCCCAGTGTGAACCAGAGAGTGTGTTATCCCTGGTGTGAACCTGGGAGTGTGATATCCTCGGTTTAAACTAGGGGGTGCCTTATCCTCGATTTGAACCAGGGAGTGAGTTATCCCTGTTGTGAACCAGGGAGTGCGTTATCCCTGGTGTGAACCTGGGAGTGTGATATCCCCGGTTTGAACCAGGGGGTGCGATATCCTTGGTTTGAACCATGGGTGCGTTATCCTCGGTTTGAACCACGTTGTGAGTTATCCCTGGTGTGAACATTGTGCAGTATTATTAAAGCTGTATTGTCTCCAGTAATTTATTGAAACTCTAGAAAAGAACATTGTGTATTAACTTTGACACAGTAAAGATATTGTTATTTCTTTGGAAGCATATACTTCTTGATTTGATGCTTACAATGACTGCTGTAGAACAATAAAATTCAATTGCCAGCCATATTCACCATATATTAGTAGCTACTCTTATCTAATATACACCATCTCAAAGAACTTAAAACATTATACACCATGCAAGTAGTTCATCCCTTGTTCAAAACATTAATGCATAACAGAATTTTATGTTGCCCAGCCAAATACAAATACACAGATAACTCACAAAAATTGTAACTTGTGAATTTGGTTTCTGGCTCTAGTTACTTGAAAATAAAGCTAACCCATTCATTTGTCAAACCAATGTTTTTTTATATGGATGCATGGTTAGATGTACGCATCAAATCTCGCCTTTCCAATATCTTACGAACCACTTGGTGGATTGAAACACAATTTGGTGGAGATATACTAATGATGAACTCCAGACATGCTTAGATTTTGGTACAGTAGGTTTTTCAGGGTGTAATATGTAAAATTACTTTAAAAAACAACCCCCAAAAAAGTGAAATATACTGGGGAAACTTTCACTACTGCAACTGAATATATAATTGTACTAGCCTCGGTCGTTTAATGGCAGTTTGGGTTTTAAAAAAAATAAAATTGGACCAAGAAATCGCCCAGGGCAATTTTTTGTCAGTTTTTTAAGGTATGTTATTAATATTTTGGCTTCATTTGGCTTCTGACATTTCAATCTTTCCTGACGCCTAAAAAAAAGAGTCAAATTTAATTTTACCGTAGTCATTGACGCCTATCCCAGAGTATGATGTTTATTAGACTAGCGAGAATGGATGATCTTCATTTCGACAATGAGCTGTTTTCACTGTAAACAATGACAAATTATTCTTCAAATGTTCAGTTTATCTTTTGAAAACAACTAATCTTTTGATTTAAAAAATAATGCCATTTTTCATCAAAGTCCAAGCCAATAAACGTACTACAACATCATCAAATCTCTTCCATGTTGCTTTCAATAAAATTAACATATTTCAATTAGCTATGGTAAATTGAAAACATTGGCATCATCCACTGGAAAGTGATTTGACCTATCAGGTCAAAGTACACTGTCCCAGGTCAACTCATGCAAGAAAAAAGACCTTACAGATATCCTATAGCATCAAGCTTTATATGCGACCAGAATCATTTGCTTACAATGAAACTACATTGAATTTCATTTGCATTCAATGAATTTATCTTTTGTACGTTATTATAACCACTACTGAGTTGTGATATGCAGCATGACCAGATCGCACTACCATGATCAATTGCTACTAAGCAGTGCAGTTGTGTTTGTTTTATTTGAAACTTCTTTTAGAATATTACCAATAAAATAATAAAAAAATAATTGTATTTGTCGTACAAGGTTCGTTAATGTGATATTTTGGGGGAGAAAGATGACACTGGGTGACATTGTAATGAAATTTTAGGCGGCCTACTTTTTAATTCAGCAAGCAAAATTGTATAAAATTTTAGATTAGCTTCTGCAATAATTTCTTTCATCTTGGGTGGTCCAACTGCCAGTGTTGAAAGTCGGCGTAGGTGGATTTTTCAATAAAAATAGAAGTCTAAAAAAATATTTGATGATCATTTTTTAACCCGGAATAAGGGCGATTTTTTGGAAGGGCCAATTTACAGCAGAATCTGGTATATGCTATCTATTATGAGATTTTGAAAAATCTATGAATAACAGACTAGTGAATCAGTCTGGAAGGCTGTGGACAGGCCTTACATACAAGTCAGTCTGCGCATGCGAGTTCACATGGTAATGTACTGATGTCATGGAGATAGCTAATCAGTGATGACACAGAATTCTGTGCCATCTACATATTTACATATTCACCAGACCATTCTTGAATGCACTAATGGCTGGATTCCAGGCTAATGCAAGTTGTATATTTTTATACACTGAAGCAAC